TGTATTACATTCAAATTAACATGATGTACTGACAGTTTTCAAAATGGATGGATGAAATAAAATTACTAATACGTAAAACGACTACTTGGATGTATTAATGTTTGTACATTTAACATTAATATACACGTGTTTAAAAATGACCAAGAGTGATCTGAATTTATTTATAGAGCACGTCTTCCACATAAATATGCCATTACTCGTAATTCACTAAATAACTTTAGTAATGCGTGGTGGCAAATCATTCCATGTCATTTGCTTCCTAACTGGATTTTCCCCACAAGTCCAACCTAAGCTATTGCGTCATTGGGTTAATCATAGAATAAGCATCCATATTTCCAGTGATATGCCAGATGGTAAAAGATACTTATACTATTAGCATACGATTCAGTAACGTTGTTTGACCCAGAAGTGCTGGTTTATTGAAAGACCAGAATGCGGTATGGTGTTTTATAAACTGTAAGAGGCCCAAGTCAGGTAATTTGACGGTATTACACATTTATTCTTGAATTCGCTGTTTGACATGCTGGATATGGATGACACCTTAGGTACAGATTATTTCTGATATAACCCATGCCGCTGTAGTTTCTGACTCGAAGGCTGGACTCAATACGGCAATAAAACAATTTCAGGTGTCTGCAGAGCCAATGTTAATTAGAGTGTTGTAGCTTAATGTGCCACTTTCCCTTGGCCAATGCGTGATGTGACGTATTAAGAGTTGAAGAAATGATGATCACTGAATAGGAACATGCAAACCTCATATCTTGTAATTTGATAGAACAAAATTTATTTTGACTGATTCTGCCGGGGCAGTTTAGCATTTTGATGACAGCAGTTACCCAACATGTTATCAGAATCTGGGATACCAGTGTAGAAGCGCAATTATAATATATTCTTGATATGGTAAGCTGAAAATAACTAGTTATGAGCGTCAACCATCATTTGTACAGTGTATGGTTGTGGGGGCCATGTGTGCGAACTCTACCATGGAGGTGATCAGGACCACAGCAATTACCAGGAGTCTCTTGATTTCAAAGACGCGTATCTGCATGTACTGATTCAACCTGAAAGCCGTTTCTCACTTTATGATTCTAGTTCAATGAGTGCCTGTCCAAGCTCAATGTAGCATCATATGCACCAGAATGGTGTCTCAAACTATAAACAATAGCAGTTTCACTGTTCCCCAGGTTATATGCACAACTCATGATTGGAAAGTGAAGCTTTACATAAACCTACCACAGATTCTATCTTTCAGTTTTTTTTATGTATTATGAACGAGAGACTGCGGAACATTCTATTCCGATCAGTCAGCGACCCCTCGTGACAAATCCCTTCAAAATATACCACCAAAAAATTAACAAATCTAAAGATGAAAGTTATTTTTACAAGTCGAAAGGGAAAAATAAGGAACATTTTTATTCCCCCTTTGAGTAGAAACAGACGCAAGGCAGGGAAACACAACTTACAAGATTCAGTTACAGAGTTTGAAGCTGTTTGAAGATACAATGTTCAAATACAAAAAAAAAACTTTTGTCGTAAGGTTGATGTCTTTAATTTTATTTCTGACTCGCATTTAATATCTAGGATCCCTGGTTCTCTATCAGGCCACGTGGATAATATGAGCATGTTTACGTAGAATACGTGTTTTTCTTTAAATGTTAATGCAGACCATGTATGTGTTTCTTTAATTATTACAACACATGATCACTCCAGTGCAAGTGCTTTTAGGTAGACATCTATAATTACAGCAGAACAATAACATTATGGGTGAATCATGCTAAATCATCACCAAGTACTTAGTTCAGTGTTTCAAAATATAATTAATTAGCGAATGTTAGGCGCAGAAAATAAGATGACAACCCCTTAGTGTAGTGGAAAAACGATGTCCCATTTTGTACAGTCAAAATCTCGAATTGTGCCAGCCCACTCTCGGTTGTAAAAACATAGACGACTAAGAGAAAACAGTACAAGTGCACGGGCTGAAGACAAACTAAGGTCTAATGCTTTAATAATTAGCACTTCAGAATCTCGTGCACGAGCGTGAATTTGTTAAATGAAACAAACTACCGCATTTGGCACATTGACATATTAGTTTTTCTTTATTATAGATGTTAATGCGCGTCGGTCGATACTTCTGCTGTACTATCATCGTGCATACTTTGAGGTATCCCCGTAATAACTCCATATTATTGTAAATAATATGTACCCTCTAATGGATTCACATTATGGGATATGATTAAAATTGATGTGATATATTTTGTGACATAATCCAAGGCTGCTTACTAATCAAAAATGATTAGTGGGGAGAAGTAGCGCATAAAGTGGTCTTCGTAAACAAAATAAGACATTGCAATAGATATTCCTTTTTAGATTTGTATACTTCTTAAACGGCTTCGGCCAAAGTAATATTGGTGTAATTGATAATTATTTCTTAATGAATAATCATAATACAGCCTGAGTGTATTATATATAAATAAATTGTAACTGCAAACATTATAAACATGTAATTATTATAATTCAATATTTGTACTTTTTATAATTATATATTAAACATTAGAAGATGTCAACTGTTATTTTATTTGAAAAAAAATTATAGAGATATTCTTCTGGCAAGATTCAAGTGTTTTCTGAAAATGGCACCCTCTATAGATCTACTCTAATCTGCTATCGTTTTCACTAATTTGGCGATGCTGATTTACATTCGACCCTTCTCAAGACCGAACTATGCTCCGGTCGGTACGTTGATCACGGTGTTCATTAACTTCATTCAACGCGCGCACGACATGCGACACGATATCAGCAATATGTATATGATGCACTATTGTTCAAGTAAAATTTAATTTACCATAGAGTTAAATGTTTACGCCACAGAACCGCTTTATTTAAAGAACTATTACATATGCCCATGTAACGTGAGAGGCCCGGAAGTGTATTTTTTGGGTTTTAATAATCATTAAGTACTAATCTTGGAGTACTAATACTAAAAAATTTAATTTTTCACACAGATCAACGATTGTACCCCGATTGTAATTTAATTTCTTGTTTTTTACGTATATAATAATAATACACTATTTAGCTTAATAATAATACATAATAACTTTCATACTGAAATATACTATTTATTTGATATATTTGTTTTTAATTTAGAAATTGTGCTATTTATATGAGTATAATACTATTATTATAAATTAAATAAATCTATTTACATTTGGTAAGGATACATCAATTACTTACAAATAAATGAACGATTGACATCTTCAATGATTTAATATATAATTATGACAAGAAACATGTATTGAATTATAATAATCATACAATGTTTGCAGTCATAATTTATTTATATATAATACACTGTTTTACGACTATTTATAAATAAATATTTTTTCTCGTTGATTATATGTCACATAAATACATCACACCAATATTTATAAAGCATGTCATTGCAAATTTCAAGATATATTGACAATTGCTCTAAAAGTTGATTATTAATCATATCATGTTTTTCGTTATAACATATAATGTGGTTAAAACGACATATAAATAAGAATACAAACGGTACCCATATCTGTCTACTTGGTCTAACACACGTATCTTATGATACTCCTTCCTTCCGTGGATAAATGGACGGAGACACTGTATACTTGACGTCGAGATAGACTAGACCTGTGAATATTGTTACACATCTTATGCACAACGCAGTCATTTCAAATTTGGATTTAAAGCTCTTAAAGCGGCAGGGTCGTCAGCTGCGCACGCGCAGCGATAACAACACACGATAAGAAGCAAAGGCTCATAGGGTGGACGCTTGTTTGTAAACAATGACACGCTTTGGCCATCTGACGCATGCGCAGGTGACGACTCTCCCGCTTTAATAAGTTTGTTGTTGCTATTCCTCAATTTGAATAGACTTATTGTATATGGAATGCATACTAATATTTATAAATTTGGCAAGCTACGATTTCATGGAACGATAGCGGGAATGTATCCTTAATAACTTGACATCAGCCTTGTGCATCCGAAACATTAATCCAAACTTACGGAAATAACGTATATTACGGTAAGTTAAAAATACACCTATGACGAATTAGATAAACGCTATATTTTATTTATACTTTGTCATAATGTTCTTTACAGGACACACAACACTATTCGTTAGAGGAAAAAACAGAAACACTAATACGCATGTGCAGTAATTATTACTGTACGTACCAAAACCACTGGTGCACATGCGTATCAGAGAATTTAATTGTTTCACTACTAAGATGTGTAAGACACAAATAGCCCAGTTATATGTAGCATGTAGCATCAAACGTTAAAGCGCGACAGTCGCGCCGCGTCCTGTTCGATATGAGACTCATAGCGACGCATTGTTTATTTACATGATATTCGAACACGCCCTGCGCGACGACCACCACGCTTTGACAATAAAAATAGTTTGTTTTTATCCGTATTGTAGCTTTGCGATTAAGCTAATATTAGGTTTTACAATTACTATTATGTAGACGTCTCGATTATGTCAGTTTCAGTCAACAAGATTGTTATTGGTGAGAAGTCACAATTAAATCCTACCAATCTCAATCGTGGAATTTAATCGAAGAAACCGAGACAATTGTGAACATATTTCACTTTGCGTGGTCGACCAGCTGGTTACACTCAGCGCAAACTTGCTAAAATAGCAACGTACCTACAACTGCGTGCTGTATTGTCCATCTTGTATTGCACTGTCCCGGGGCTGTAAAGTTATACGTACACCCGATGAAACTTACACCGCACACAATACTTGAATGGCTGTTCCAAACAACATCATCACCCTTGAGCATGATATTGCTTCTAAAGTATACATACACGTGTAATACAATTCTTCAAGTTGTAACGACTGCTGGTTAGTACTATTTCTGTCCGTTGTATGAACATAGTCATGATTCATGCATATGCATTTAAGCTACACATTTAAATTTGCATACAACCGGGGTCAATGACCAGGAAATAAGTGTCTACGATAACGATTGCAAGTAAGTCGCACTCGTCTCTCGGTAATACACGTACTTTGCCGGGATTTATTGATATTAGTAGCGAGATATGTGTGCCACTCTTCTATTGGCATTGGTGGTCGTTTATTCCGACTGCATACGTGCCGTGCAAGGTATGTGTTAGTCATATTTACCGGTGAACTCTTGTTTCTTGATCAACTGTGTGTGATCTTTTGTCGAGGCGGTAACTCCCCGTCGTATTTAATCGGTCACTGGATATGCCGCCTGTTGCACTGTTTTATCGACATATATATTACGATTGGTGATGACTTCAAGTTGGGCGATACATTGTCTGGTAGATATGAGTTATATAGCGTCTAGTCTGATTCATAACACATAGTAAGTGTGACATTGACATGTTGTATATTTCCTCGTGATAGGTTTCCTAGTACAACTGGTAGTAGATGAGATAGGATGTCGAGTAGTTTCGATGCAATATATGTGTACAACATAGGGAGGAGCTGAGGGAAGGGGGCTTATATCTGTTGCCTTGGCGACGGCATACCACTGTCGAGTTACAATACTCAGTCAACACTCCGCCTGGTGACGGGGATATTGCTGAATTAATGAAACGTTGTCAGCATAAATAAAACCAAAACTATGCATGTGCAGTGAATGTATTATCGTAAATCTAATCTGTGAGATATACAATAATACGCGTTATGATACTAAATGTTACGGAAGATGTCAATATTATTTACATTTATGATATTTACTTTCTTAAATACGCACATACTATAAAGTCCACACAATGCACTATACGAAAACATATTTTGTACCAGGATTAAGTTGAATGGTTGATCACGTGACGTCAACAATCTGGTTATAATTTCAATAATAGTGTTTGCATTAAACACTGTATATTGTTATTGCCTTAGTGGAAACATATATTCGATTAACAAACCTAGAATAACAAAGATTCATATTAGATATTCAGATTTGTGCATTTGTCATTTGCGTATCAGTTAGGTTACCTGTATGACACACGTTTTTGATCGAGTTTAGAGCGATGACGGATTGGGAGTGTCAGTTCGATTTTTTTTGTCATTCTCTAGAGCGCAATCAGAAGTATATGGTCAGAATACCTCTAATATGTTGAGATCGTCGTTTGTACTCTTAGCAAATTTGAAATTGTTTACACCAAAGTAGGATTATATACACATCCGCCTAGGTTCCGGGATCTGACGTCATGTTATAGGGTGACACCCCATTGTTAGAATAGCTTCCCTTTGTCTGTATGCTTAGGTACTTGACGGGTTAAGAAACAACGAACCTCAGAGTGTAGGTATTTAGTTCCGTCTTGAAGAAAGCTATTTCGAGACGCTTTCTTGTATTTTTTGCGAACTTCCTCTATGCGTATTGTTATCACATTGATTTCATGTTGTATTTGTGTGTGATCTAGTCTGAGCAATGCAAACAACATAGTCAAATACGACGCGACCTTTTGATCGCCATTTTGAAGGAGAAGGTTTCTTAAATATACATAGAAGCAAGCAACAATGAAGCAAGCAACAATGTGAAAGGTCAAGGCTAGAGTATGGTTGTTAAATGTCGTTTGGTGTGTCCATGAATTGTAAAAGCCATAAATAGGTTATGCGTCTCGTGTTGACTAGATTTTCGTTTCAGACACATTGAACAATATCATATCTAAGTATTGTGGTGCCTATGCCTAGTCCACAAACTTGATAGGTAGGTTACACTCTAGAAAAGTGGACATCTTTGAAAAAAGTAGTTCAGTCCTAATGTTGCCATGACAACGTCCAAAAAACTTGATTTTTGGTCGTAGCTTCGCGCAAAATGTATCCTAGTACAAATCTTTGTGTATAAATGCCGAACATATCTAATTCTAATTTGTCTTAGTGCGTGCCTGAAGCTACTATTAGTATTTTGTTTTAGAGTCTGTCATACCATGTCATTACAATTTTTCTTTAATTGGTTTACTTTGAAAACCATAATTTCATTATATTCGATTGTCTTATTTGTTGAATCGCAATTTAATTGTTTTTAGTTATGTGTAAATAAATTAATGTGACGGGGCTACTTTGAATAGTTCTGTGGGAACTGTCACAATATGCCTGAGTGTATTTCGTTTTGTCAATCGGCGTGTAGTTGTATTGTAAACATACTTGTGATGGGCGTTAAATAAGTAGTCGTGTGATGGTGTTTGCATATTGTGTTTACGGACATGTCGACTGACAATTGGGTCGTTTTATTACACAAGATCCGAAAATTACTATTTATAAATTTAGTACTATTTGTCACGTCGTTTAGTCGCCATCTTAGACTTCTTTTAAACAGGATATAGTTGTATACTGACGACACAATTAGCTGATCGATTTGCAATTTGACAGGTTGCATCTTACCAGTCACGCGATTTCGCCTTCATTTTGGATTTTCGTCTAAAATGCAATCATTTTTAGCATTTGTTCTTCAAGATCGACTTGAAATCAGTCATATAGTACCTATGGCCAAAAATTACTGATATGTGGGCTACTCATTTCACTGATAAAAACGACGGAAGTCCCCTTCCGTTTCCCGCATATTGAGTTTTAAAAATAAAACACTTGCATTAGTAAAGCGCCCTCAGGGGTGGGAGAGCTACCGTCTTTATTGTTTGCTGATTCCCACCTCAAGTGTCATGGCGCATGAAGCCACAAGAGGCCGGTTACATGTAATTATTACAGAATTCTGATTGGTCCATCACGTTCTCTTTCCTTGTCCTATTTCTCTTGGTTACCTGACGTCAGCGCTTACCCTCGCGGCCTTTCCATATATACAGCAGGGGTTTCCCACGCTCTTAAAAGTTGCGCGATTTTTCAATCACTTTGCACAAAAATAGCGAGAAATGTTACTCAGCCACGTGCCTTTGGCCACGTGGAACAATATGGGGATTACTAGTGTCCTACGTGCCAGTTACAAGGCACGTTAGGAACTGGCGAATCTTTATTTCAGACTATGAAATAACTTCAATAATTTATGGATTAGTTGCATATAGTTCATACAACATAATTATGCATCATTCGTTGGCAAAGGGGTAAGCGCATTCTGGTCTAAGACGTTCTAGTCGCAATAACAGTCTTGACTGGAGGAAATAAATAACGATCACACTCAGCACTCAACAACTGGAATTAAAGTTTAGTAATTCTCTGGAGCACGCTTAGTGGATGTAAGGGTGGGGGACACATTCACTATGACAACAACCGAATCAGACACTTTTTTAGCATTTACCAATGAGATTCAGGTCACCGCGAATATTAACTCTAGTGTATCATATTGACAATACAGATTACATTTAAGAACTGCGTAAAACATTAATATAAATTGCTTGTAGCCCCTCGATGCTGCTTGTAGCTTTAATACCATGTTTTTTTTCTGATTATTTACAGGTGACACATCTTGTATCGCATTATCTGGTACATGTCAAGAAGACAACATAATATGTAATAATGGCGATTATCAGACTGGCCTTTGTTCGGGTCATGCTCACAGAAGATGTTGTGTACCTGGACGTAAGTACCATTACTCAAAACAGAGGCGGGGGCACGACATTTTGTGATTTTTTTGGTGGGGGCGACCACGCCTCCCGCCCCGATGCCGCCGCCAATAACTCAAAATCGTGATTATTACACATAACATTATTGTAACGTTCTGTCCCCTAATTCAATGACTGTTTTTATTTAATTGCAGCGGACCACCAATGTCTGAGCTTGGGAGGTACGTGCCAAAACGATGATTTATTTTGTGCCGGAAACTTCACATCTAACTTATGCGGAGGGATTGCGACTAGAAGATGCTGTGTTCCCCCAGAACGTACGTATACCTCGTTCAGATAAGAAAATAGTGCATCCTAGTAATCTAATCTTATAATAATTTAATTAAATTGTCTAATATATCTTTAGTTATGCATTCAAATACCATTTCATAATCAAAATACGATATGTTGTACATATTGTGTAGTACTATTGCGTGTAATTGCGTCTCTTTGATTCTCACAACAAATATTTGGTTTTACCCATACATTTGTCAATGTCTGGGTCATTGTACTTTTTTTTCTTAGCTTGTGCAAATTATAACGTTGATGGCGACATTGAACGTTTCTGTGCTGGTAACTTCCAAGTCGTTCCAGAACAGAATATTGAAGTAACATTTCGTTTGTACACTCGTGCGACACCTGATGGTGATATCGTTACTCAACCTACTAGACAGTTACATGGAAGTTATATTCAAGGGATGCCAACAAAGGTATGATGTACACCCTCCATTATGTTGTATGTTTGATGTTGACTGAAAAGGCAGTGTTGAAATATTTCGGTACATCTTTATTAATCGTACTAGTTGCTATTTCTCATGCCACCATTTGTTTAATTGGAACACAATCTAACTAGGTTTGTAACATAAAACGAAACATAGCAAAAAAACAGTCAATTTACCAATGCAGTGGTTACGAGGGACGTTCAATAAGTAATGCTTTTGACCCTATTTCCCATAGCAGGAGATTAATGCAACTTGGCACAGTTATTAGTCTTTCTCTACACAGGAACCATCCAGAGTTATGCATTTCTCCCATCGTTTGATGCAGCGCTGGTTTTTGTAGAACACCCCAGGTTGGTCCTCCAACCACGTAGTAATTTCAGAAATCAAGGCTGCATCATCTGGGTAACGCTTTCCATTTAAAAACAACTTCATGGCTGGGAAGAGATGGAAGTCAGAGTGTGCAAGATCAGGAGAGTAAGGGGGTGGGGAGGATTTCATAGCCACACGCCCGTGCTTCTGATCTGGCGACATGCGAGTTGTGAACCGGAACGTTGTCCTGCAGGAGGAGGATACCTTTGCTGATCTCTTGATTTTGATAGCTTCTTTCAATTTCCTCAAAAGTCTCCTTTGGTATGCGTCCTTTCAAATACAAAAACCGGATCACTGCGCGACACTCAACTGGCTCCAGTTAAAAGCACCTGTAAATAAAAAAACACAATTAGTTCAGAGCTGTTTTTTTGCAATATAACAAATAGAGATATAAATCATTACACACGCAAAATTTCATCTAGATCAGACAACTGGAAGTGGGTCAGGGGCATTACTTATTGAACGCCTCTCGTTTTTCTATCAAAAAGGGGCTCAACTGTTTAAACATAAGTGTAGGAATATCATCTCATTTGAGGGTTTCATATTTTGAAAATACATCATAAAAACAAATCTTTTTAAAACACAACTTATTGTAACTGTGATAACGTTCTAATCATTGTTTCGCCCAATGGAGTAAATAAATAATCACATATCATATACTCATTTAGCAGTATTTGGATACAGTAAATAAGAAATTATATTTTGAAGCAGAACTCTTATTTCCAAATGTGGGATTATATTGACAGAAACTCAAGTCATGAGAAAATATATAAAACTAGTTAATATAAGTAGTTGACGAGACACAGCTAAACAAAGTATAATTAATACTTGTTATTATAATACAAGTGTTCACAAAGAAACAAATTGTATTTTTAAACAAAATTAATATCTTCTGATTTGATTGATTTCGTCGAATAAATTAAAGTCTGACCTTAAGATTATCATGCATAATATTATCTGAATGAATGGTATACGGTGATCACACACATTTTAAAAACTCACATTCACTATGTGTATATTGATGACGCATAATTTAAAATATCAAGTTTACACATTGCCCAATAATGTACAGGTTAATAATCTTATATAATAAATACGCTGGTATAACTTATTAGTTCGTACTTAAATATTTCAGTTCATTGTCCATGGCTACAGAGACAAAGCCACTAAACCTTGGGTTACTGATATGGTAAAAGAGTTGCTAGAAGTTGACAATTGTAATGTGATAACTGTTGACTGGCATGAAGCTGCAAAAACGGTGAGTATATTGAGTAAATCAGTGTCAAAGTATCAATGGTTAATTGCAAAATACATTTATATATTGGTTAACACACGCCGTCTACAAAGGCTCACCAGCGAATGTAAACTATGAATACAACAGACTGAACGGAATTTACTTCGTCACTGCCGGCGTACATGCACCCCAAATAAAATAAGATCCATTTAAGGTCAAGATCACAGTATGTGTGTATATAGCTTCGTAATACCACTCCAAAAAAAAAAAAAAAAAATAGGTAATATACTTTTATACTGTATACACATCTGACCCATAATACCTGGTTAGCCTTAACTTTGCTACCACGAAACTTAAATTATATCTCTCACTGAAGCTATGGCGCACATTGTCTTATCAAACGTTCACATTTATATGTATATATATATATAAATTACTAAGTATATTCAACCTCGTGCAAATACTAGTCATGACATATACAATGCATGTCATAATGACATTTATGTAGTACCATATATATTTTTATTTTTTCCACTAATTTCACACATGATCTACCGGTGTAATAGTAACAACCAACATTGGTACGGTGTTACCATGTGGTCATATTTAATCTGACTTTATGTTGGGCACGTATGTTTACGCCACAGGTATTTTTTTTTATATATATGAACTCAAATCAGATGCATAGTTACAATGCGATCCTAATAATGTGATTTTTAACTGAAACGAATTCATGCATAACATAATGATCAGATGAAGTAGGTGTTCAGATTTATAGTAAATATTCTATGCTAAATAATGCGATTTTAAATTTATAGATTCCAAATCGAAGTACATATAACCAGGCTTCTAGTAACACCAGAATAGTCGCAAGCTGGGTGAAACGATTTATAGCTTTTTTGAAGATAAGTGTCGGGGACACAGTTTTCACGGATATCCACCTCATTGGACACAGCTTAGGGTCTCAGATATGCGGTATGGTTGGAAAATGGATAACAGATAAGACATGTGGAGGTCAACCGTGTAGAATCAGTCGGATTACAGGTATACAGTGACGCCATTATTACAAATTACTCGGAGAAATTTGATACATGGTTAACTGAACCTGCTGAAATAAACATTACAATGGTAGTAATGCGCTATTCATTTTGTCGTTAGCATTGGACCCAGCGCGTCCTAACTTTTTGGAACCAACAGGCAATAATAGGCCTCCAAGTCAATACTGTGTACAGAGAGGAGATGCAATGTTTGTAGATGTCATACACACTGATGCCACAGAAGAAAAGGATGAATCTGATAGTATAACTAATACGTTTGGAATTTTTCGGGTTAGTAATATTATTACTTGAACTCTCACTTGACATTTGTCAGATATATTTGATATATGGATATTGATAGTTCAACAAATACGAGCAGCGATAATTGCGTTCAAAATACATATTTATATATTTCGTATCGACAACGTGCATTGTCTTTGTTCCATTTCCACGTACTCCCATGTCACAACTTTTTGGTGAAATACCAGCTTTGGGTGATTCAGAAACAAGATAGATATTAATAGTGAGTAACAAAATAAACAGTCTGCTATTCAAAATAGTTATAATGAAGTTCTGACAACTGCAAAATGTCGACTTTTTCTTCCTCAAATAGTTTTAGTTTTTCTGTTTGTTATCGCGTTAACTCTGATCCAAATAAGCATTCTATTTGAAACAACGGGGAGAATAATGGAAGAAATGGCACTTACTGTAATGGCACCAGAATTTAGTCGTACAGGTTTCCCACCAACGAGAGGTTCAAATTCAGTTACGTGAATTTACTGTAAAATCGTTTCAGAGAAAGATATCTCAAAATAATGCCATTTTTAATGCCATGTTTCATGAACGGACATATTTGAAAATGCTGTTCACATTTGCATTGATAAATTATAAGATGTTATACGAAGACAAGGCGTGCTAATGCATATAAGGGAACGAAGATTGATATCCATCTCTGTTAGAAATGGAAAGAAACTGTGAATCAGGAACATAGACTGGCAAAGTCGGTTCTTTTTTTGTTTTACAAAAAGAAATAATTAATTGTTCTTTTAGTACTTTTAGCGTGATCGCAAAAACTAACCGGACCGCTAAAGAAATCCCGACTAGACGGACCCGCGGGCATTTAACTGTTATTAATTATTCATGATGTCATTGATATTCATGTGTGAAATTAAACATGACCTTTAAAAGGTTGATTCGATTCGATCGCAGAGATGGATACTTTCATCCATGTTTATTGAAAACAAATCATTTTAAATGTCCAATATATATAAGTAGTCTTTCAAAATTGCCGGGACCTCAGAAGTGAAAAGTCACGTACATTAACATAGATAAGGTACAACGTATATAGCTGCACTTTGAATCGTTGCCAATGCTAGTCAACAACTTTTAATTAGCATAATCACCGGAGTGATTCCGCTCCGGTTTTCACTCCAACGCAGGGGGTCGCCTGCAGATGCGTCCAGTCGGGATTTCTTTCGCAGTCACGCTAGTTTTCGTGCTCACGTCAAAAAGCCTAAATTGACAATTAATTATATTTGTTTTGTGAAACAAAAAAGAAGTCCCGACTTTGCCAGTCTATCAGGAACAATATTAATGATGATACAAATTACGGTGACATTTCTTCCGTATGTTACCTTACTTTTGTGAAAAAATTGTAAATAAATTTTACATGCCTTATTCGCAGGCTTTGGGTGATGCTGACTTTTACCCAAATGGGGGTAACAAACAACCTGGCTGTAATGTTTATTGTGACCATGGCCGAGCTGTAGAATTGTTTACAGCTTCAATAAATTCTCGCTGTAGCTTTATCGCAGACACGTGCAACACACTTGGAGCTCTCAGGGCTGAAAGGTAGGGTGAACAAGTCATTTTGTATTATGTTCCTGACAGATGATATGCAATCCTGGATTATTATTATTTTTTAAGTTTCCTATGTGAATATTTGTATTATTCTGTGGTTGATTGAACTTGTTTTACTATCATTCAATTTGTATTAGTTGCACAATTTGCACATCACCGCCCTGCCAAAGAATGGGTTATCACGCGTCTCCCACACACACGCCATCAATGTATTTCCTAACTACCACAAGCAAAGAACCATTCTGCGGTAAGTGCAATTATTCCGGTTCCCGTTGTTATATTGTGTTTTTCTATGAAGTATTACTCGTTTTCGTGTTCAATAATGGCTCACGCGTACGTTATTATGATTCAAACTTGTACTTGAAATCATATTGTATTTGTTATGTTTTTATGTTAGGTGTGAGTACAAGCAGGACTATGTTAATATTTATGTCGCTTACAATTTTGCAAATTTCCATTTTTCAGAGATTGATGATTTTGATATCTGGGAGAAAGATCATTTGATAACAATTTCACCGAAATATTTATATGTTATCATAATGATGTAGTCACCAGTTGACTGCATTAAAATGAAAACTATGCTACCAGTTAGATAATTCAAATTTCAATTTGTTTTTAAAACAGCTCATACGCTTGGGTGTTACGAAGACAGATCGTTATCACCAGACATGGACCACAAATCATCGTCGGTAATTACATCGGTTGACATATGCCTATCTTACTGCCGAGCAAGAGCATATATGTATGCAGGACTCCAGTACACCTCGTCTCAGTTGAGTTGTTGGTGTGGGGACACGTATGGAAAATATGGAGAAGTTGATGCGTCCAAGTGCACTCACAAGTGTCGCGATTCTGTTAAAGGAATAACTTGCGGTGGACATTTACATAATTCAGTTTACGAAACAGGTAAGTTAGTGCCTTGTTGACCAAGTCGATGTGCTACTTCAAGTTGTAGTACTTTTATGGAAACAAAATGAGTATACAAAGTGCACATTAGATTTGCATGTACAAATATTGACGCAATTGTTATTTTGAATCGTATTCCATCAGTTTATCACGCCTATAAACGCGCACGATTGTGATTGCAATTGAATGCGAGATAATTTATGAAAGCCGCTTAAAATGTGTGTTGACGTATGCCACAAACGTGAATAACACATTAACGTTAAATCCTTCTATCAATTGAAATCAACATAAACATTAGTTTGCGCTACGAGCAACATTGCGATCCATGGGTAGTTTAGGTTCAATCGAGAAGCACAAGAAAAATACTATTTTTTTCAGATTCAGAATTAGGCAAACTACGCCAAAAATAAACTCTTGAACGCCGAAGTCTTATGTGTATTTTTTATGTGTATATGTTGTAAAACTGGAAAAGTCCAAATCGGTGGGTTTCTCTTAAATATGTAACGACACTATGTTGGTCATTGCATTAGTATGCATTAAAGAGCGGTAG